CTTATCAAGTTTTTTGAGCATTTTTTCAGATATACGCGAACTTACTGAATTTTTTTTATTTTTAGCTTCAGTAAGATGTACAATAATTACAGAAAAAACCATGCGCATGTCTCCGATTGTCGGGTGGGTAAAAGAGGAAAGTAGTTTAGTAGCTTCATAAATAGGTTCTAATAGTGTTATTATGATATTTATATTAACCCAATCTTGTTTATTTATATATTGTTTTTTAAGATGTAGCATTGAAACTACTAATATATCTGTCATTTCTTTTATTTTATACAATTTTTTTAACATTAAGTATAGCAAATTCCATCTGGTTTTACAATCGGTCTTGGGCACCAAAAATGGTTGACTTTTCATTGTAAAAATTTTTTTTAACTCTTCTAGGCAGGGTTGGAAGTGACAAATACAACTTGCAAAATCCTGTGCTTTTTTAGTTGATTCATCAATTATAGAAAGACCATTAACGACAGCAAGGTTAAGTATATAGGCAGTACAATGTAACCGGCAGAAAGCAGTATTATCGTAGTTATATTTTAACATACTAGCAAGATTTTCACCACAGACATCCATGTTGCTTGCGTTGTTAGCGGTCATCAACAAAATTTTTCTTCCTAAACCAAAGTCCTCAATTATTTCAAAAATCGTATCAGCTAAAAAAATACCTATATGGCGTTCGTGGAGGGGGACGAAGTCCAAAAGTATATGACGTAATTGTTATTCATTATCAATCCAATGTAAAGTGATTGCGAGAAATCCTTAGTTTGTACATGAGGACCATGCATCAGTTGTAATTAACACCTTGTATCCAAAACTTTTAAAAAAATTATATAGTTGCCTATGTTCTCTTTCATATAGCTGCCAAACATGGACCAAGATCGTTTGTCTACAAGGAAACCTATAGTGGGGATCAAGTTCAAAAACAAACATTTGAAGATCTTCATCTTCGACAATGCAAAAAGGCTGTTGGTTGCAAATTATCCAACGTATCAGAAGTCTGTTTAATTTTTTGACTTTTTTTTCATCACGAACACCATATTGATTAACAGCTCGCGGAGGTGATACCTGGAGCAATTGATTGTATTCAGATTTGTGGTTGGCTTCGAAATGCTGTTTGATTGTACTAATACCAGTGGTTATACTATATTGTGTTTTGGAACACAGGCTACAAATAATGGATTTTTTATTCTGAGATAGTGTAAAATAACCCCAGATGGGGTGCGTGTTTTTACCACGCTTGGAGAATTGTTCTTCCAATCCTTCGGTATTGATTACACTATTAAAATCATTACTCAATACAACTAAATCGTCATCAAGACAAGGTGTATTAAAGATATGTGCAAAATTTTGTGAACGTTTATTGAAAAACATGATATAACTAATGAAATTTTGAGAAACTAAATTTTCGTTTAAAGTAACACTTTTATACTTACAAAAAAGAAAAAAAAAATGAAACAATTATCAAAACAAAGAGAAATCTTTGAGTTTGATGCAATTGTTTTATACAGCTAACCTATCAAAACCTTAGCTGCTATATACGATAGAATTCCATAAACTTTTCCATCTTTTACTTTTTTTGAAAGCCCAAAATCAGTAATATACACATCATGCACAGGCAACACAAAGAGAGGATCTTTGGGTTTGATGCGATTGTTTTATGGACTTATTGGGGTATTTGTAATAAAAAAAATTGTAAATTAAGAGTACATGGTAGAGAACAATTGTCATGAGGGAAATTCAGACTAATATTGTTATAGCCTGATGTAATAATTCAAACGATTAAATAAATAATAGTTCCAACATTATATGTTTAAATTTTTAATAATGAATGAATGTTTTTATATTCATCCTTTTGAATTCCAACTTCAACACCATCATGAATTGATTATCATTGATCTAAAAACTTGATGTAATTATGCCAATTATTGATCAAAAATAAAAATAAAAAAACTAAAGTATCGGTACTTACTAATACTGTAAGATTATTGATCAAAAAGCAAAAAGAAACGAATAAAAGCCATCGGGACTTACTAATATTGTAATTTTACAGCAATTATTGATCAAAAAGCAAAAGGAAACTATAATAAAAGCCATCGGTACTTACTAATGCTGTCATAATTACTAGGCGGCCATTACCAGCCATTATTAATTGAAAGCAAAAAGCTGTAATAAAAGCCATTGGTATTTAACTAATTTAATTCTCCAATCGAAAGTACTCCTCATTGATCACCCAATCAATGAATTTTAAATTAGAACACGTGAATTACTATAGTACCACTATTTAAAGAATGTCGTTCTTGATTTCATATTTATTAAATTTTATTATTGTATCAAAAAGAACACTTTATTCATATCATGTAAGATTTGAACTGGTTTTGGACCTGTTCTGAACTAGTCCTACTAGTCTCTAAAAAGTCCGGTCCAGACCCGGTCTGAACTAGTTCCCTGTAAACCATTTAACATCTCTATTGTAGTATATTTATTAAATAATAAAAAAATTTTTTTTATTATTATTGTTTTATTACTTTTTTTTTAATAATATGTAGAAAATAAATGATTTTATTTATTTTTTATTTTTTTATTTTTTTATTTTTTTATTTTTTTATTTTTTTATTTTTTTATTTTTTTATTTTTTTATTTTTTTTATTTTTTTTATTTTTTTATTTTTTTATTTTTTTATTTTTTTATTTTTTTATTTTTTTTATTTTTTTTATTTTTTATTTTTTTATTTTTTTATTTTTTATTTTTTATTTTTTATTTTTTATTTTTTTTTTACAAACCAAAATTTTCAGATTGATTGCCCAAAAAAATCTGCTTTAATTGACTTTATAAATACTTGATAATGTCTTTTTATTTTAGTTACCATGTGTGTAGTTAAGTCTGTTAAATTAATTTCTATTAAGCATATTAGGATCTAACTAGCTATAACAATATAAAAATTTGAGTTATATAGTATAATTTTACAGTTTCAAGATAGTTTATTTTGTATAACTCAATCTTGTAACTTTTACTTAGATCACAAAGTCATGAAAACAATATAGCTATAGTTCATATCATATGCTCTACTATCTTAAAAATTACTCTGATCAATTTGTGTAAAAATTTTTATAAATTTTTTTTACAATAGAAATATTTTTTTTAACTATTTTTAGCAAGCAAATTTGCTTGCTAAAATTCACAGTTTAAGAGATAAACTACACATTTGACTCTACTAATAGTATGCTAAATCTAATATACTGAGAAAGTATTATCAACTACAATATACAAGCTTTTTTTGCACTTTCTTATTTTTTTTTATAATTTTAATTTTTTCTTTTTTTTTTCTATTTCTTTTTTTTAATCTTACTTTTTTTTATTTTTTATTTTCTTTAGTCTTATTATTTTGATATCCTTTAGCTATTTAAATTTAAATTATTAAATAAAAAAGTAAAAGGTGTAATGTTATACCAATTTTTTGTAGTAGTTTATTATACTAGACTACAAGTAATAGTTTATTCTTTTGTGTAGATTTTAAATAATTAGTTTGAAATCTCTTGTACTAAATTATTATTACATATAATAAATATAATATACTACTCTTATTTCTATATTTGATATTTACAAAAAATAAAATAAAAATACAATAATTATTAAGTTATTAATTCTTTAATTTTTGTTTTAAAGTACTTATTCAAATAAAAAATAAAATAAAAAATAAGATAAACAATTTTATATTTATAAACAAATTTATATACATTAGTCTAATAATAAAATTATAAATAGTGCTATAATAAATAGTATTGTTATAAATAGAAAAATGTTTTTTAACCAAAAGAAATTTAATATAGAAGAGATAATAGTGTGTTTTTTTTTAAAAAAAAAAATTGGTATGCATATTTTGAATTATTATTTTGTTCAAATAAACTACAACCTTAATTTTTAAAACAAAAGTAAAATTCAAAAGCAAACAAAATAGACAATTTTTTTCCCATGTGTAGTATCACTTCTCGTCTCTCACCAGAAATACGAATTAGTTCAACAGCAAATATCAAACTATTTCTATTTTTTTTAAATAAGTACAGTATTCTCACTTTTACAGGTTAGAGTTGTCAAAGAGATATTTTCATTATCTACGGATTCATCTTACATGCTATTATCCTAGTTGCATATAAATAATTCACTCGAGTGATCAATAAATTATTTTTTTAGAAAATTATCTTTTGTATATTAGCAAAAACAAATTTCTTGCAAAATCTTGATATAACTTTGCCTACTAAACCTAATACTAACCCAAACTAAAATATTGTATTTAAAAAAAAATATATAATATAAAATAATTCAACTATACGTATATAAAAAGTGTTAAAAGAAATTAGTAAATGTGGCAGATCATAATGAAATCGGATTAAAATGAAATGAGGATTTCTATTTAACCCTCTAAAACCCACCTATACTTATAAACTTTATCCTAAAACTAACCTCTAACCCTAACCACTAACCCTAAAAAATGAACCTCAAAATTTTCATTTTTCGGTGGCTTGTCTATTTTTTACATTGTATAATATTTCATTCTGTCACAGTAAATATATACACTAAAAACTATATGTGAAATCGAAAATGCTACGTAGATAAAAAGTTTTTAAAGTATATATTTTCTTTTTTATCACTATACTATATATATATGTATATATTTAAAATAATCGCTTATTATATTGAAAATTTATTATTTACAAATTATTTAAATACTGAAAAAAAAAAAAAATTAATTATAAAATTTTTTGTACAAATCAATTTAACAAAATACAGTATATATATAATAATTCTTAAAAATAACTAGCATAAACAATATCAAAAAATAAAATGGCTAATATTATGAAAAAATAAAATATTTAAATTCAAACAAAAATTAATTACTTTTGTTAGACTATTTTAAAATAAACAAGGCGTTAAAAAATTCCATTATAGCTAATTATTAAATAATCAAAGAAAATAATATGCAATAATCATGTTTTTTATTGGGGTTATACAGTAGATACACATGCAACCTTTCCTTCTTCTACTAATCCTTGTCCAATTAGATATTGCTGTAAACTATCTAATAATTCAAGTTGTTCAGATGGTTTTAATGAATTAATAATGCTATGAAGCACGGTACCAACTGATAATGTTGTAGTCTTTAATCAAAATACAAAAAAAAAATAAGTAAAAAATTAAATACAAGGAAAATAATATAATACGAAAAAAATAAAAACCTTAATAAAGCTCTGGTAATATATGTAAGAAAATAAACCCATAAGAAATTGGCAATCCATGCGATCAGTGATACCCCCGTGTCCAGGAATTGAATGACCAAAATCCTAAATATATAGAAGTTAGAAATCTTTAAATAATAAAATACATGAAATATAAAACATTACCTTTATATTAAATGCTCTTTTTACGCCACTAGCAAAAAAACCACCAAATGGAGCAATCAGAGAAGCAAAACAAGACATAACAAGAACATGCCATTGAAATGGTGCAATCCAAATTGTGCGAATATCAGTAAAAATCTAAAAAAAAAAATTATTATTATTATTATTATTATTATTATTATTTAATAAAAAAACAGTAGTTAAACACGCAAATCACTTACAAGTCGTTTAAGTAGACCAGATAACCAAGGACTAAGAACATATTTTTGAGAAATGAATACAGGGTTTGGCTCACAGGTCATACCAGACCATGCAGTAGCAGTGAGATCCTAAACAATATAAAAATGAAATAATTAGCTAAAAATAAATAACATTATAATTATTAATAATATAATAAATAATAGTACCTTGCTAACAGGACAAATCATGTAACTCCATCTCATTAATAATGAACCCCACTATACATATTATAATGCAATAATAATAATAATAATAATAATAATAATAAATATATTAATAAAGATACAATAATAAAATATAATAAAATAAAAAGAACTACTCACGAAGAAACCAAATATAACGGTGCAAATCCAAGCACCTACAAACCCCTCCCGAGTCTTTTTGGGACTTAATTTTATCAAAGGAGTTTTACCCCAAAAGAATCCACATATATAAGCAAAAATGTCATTGCAGATTACCAAAGATACGGGGAGTAAAAACCTACAAAAAAAAAAGGATTAGATAAAAATAAACAATAAATGTAGTTTAACCAAGTGATTCATACCAAATTAAGCCTTCAAATATATTGTTAACTATGAAATGACTCTGACACACGACAATCAGTAAAGTCATATGTGTCCATGCGAATTGGGTGAATTGAAATTTGTAATGACCTTTTTTAAGATTTGCAACAAATAATACGAATCCTAGAATGAAATAAAAAAATCATTAGTTATCACGTGGAAAAACGGTAACATGATAAACATAAGCTTACCTATACAATATAGAGTGAATGAAATGAATCGATGATGCGTAGCCAAAGGAAGGAGAAAAGCATCCACCAAAACAGCCTTCTTGAAATAATAAATTATGGATTCGCCGTATAGGAAATAATTAGTGACACCCAGAAAATACCTAAACATGATATTAAATATACGAGAATGTAAGATTAAAAATCTGAGAAATAACAGATGCATAGAAAATACATACCAATTGAGAGTTTTAAACCACGGTAATTTCTTTTCCTTACTTGGTACATGTGCCAAAGCGATAACTTCTTTATATACAAGCGTTTGAATGATCACCACAAGAATAACGACAAATGAATGTCCCGTAGACAAAAAAGCGAAAAAACCACCAATCATGACGAAAGTCCAGAGTGTTCGAACCGCCATGTTTTTCCATTTTTTTTTATTAGCTTCGATCCCTTTTTCCTATATATTCAAGTAAAAGATTTCAATAATTTAGTAAGAATTCTGAACAAATCACGAGAATAAAATGATACGCGTAATTAACATTGACACTTTAGAAACAAGAAATTCACAACTGTGGTTATTTATGTATAAAGAAAAGACTTGGTTTTACCACGCCATCATTATGGTTGGAAAGTTCATTGTCGTTGTTTCCACCTTTCTCCTTCTTCCTCTTTGTCATTATTAAATGAATTTAACACGTATAAAGGGTATAAAAGAGGAACCAATATTGCATACGAGATCAAAATTTGTTATTTAAAAAGTTTATAAGATATACGTATATATATATTTTCTCGAAGGCAGTTTAGCTTTTTGTAAAATGAGTCAGGTGGTAGAATGTATTTCGAACACGTTTTTTTTTAAAAGCCATATAAATTTAATTGGTTAGTCTATGACGCACATATGATCGAAATGCTCGTGTTTCTACGAATTCAATTTTGCAAGAACTGGCGCTAATAGCTAAGTAATAATAAAATATGCATAAAAATAATAGTTACATAGAATTTCTAAATTGCATATGTACGTACGTGCGTAACAGTAATGCTAATACGTACCAGATAAATTTAAGTTCTTGTTCAATCGAACAGATCACTATTTCACAACTTTCGGATGTATCGTATGATCATTTTCAGCTGTAATCAAATGTTACGGTAAATACTGTAATATCGAGTATATATTAACAGGTAAAATTATCGTCTAAAATCTACATTTGTAGAGGGATGTTAAGTGGTTCAAGTTAGCCCGGTTCATACCAAGTTTAGACGTGAAATTTAACCAGTTTAATTTATCTTAACTGACATTAAAGATTAAATGAGAACTTAATTCACCATTAGTTCGAATTTAACTTAAAATACTGTATATAATATCAGTATATATACAGTATATACATACTGTACGTATATATTTTAAAAAAACAGAATTTTCTTTGTATGGCTATGTACAGTAGCCAACAAAAGTAACGCACGATTTTCGCTCAAAACATAAAATTTTTATTTATTAAATTTTGACCGCACATACAATAAGTTTTTTTTTTTTTTTTTTATTTAATACTTTGAAGAATGACCACCAGCATTTGCAATAGCCTCAATTCTTCGTGTTATTGAGTCTGAAACTACACAAAGAACCGACATATCCAAATTCGACCATGCTGTCTGTTAGGGCTGCCTTAAGTGCAGATTTATCACGGGGGAAGTCATCACGGTTCTGAATATTGTCCTTCACGATCCTCCAAATGTTTTCTATAGGGTTTAGGTCAGGGATTGTGAAGGCCAATTCATATAATCGATTTTTTTTGATTTTAGCCAATCCAACACCTTGTGGATAGGGGCATTATCATGCTGAAAAATTGGATAGGAGTCAAGTAACAAATGTGCAGCAGCTATAAATGGTATGAGGTGGTCGTATAAAACCTTGGTATAAATTTTTTTATTAATTTTTTGCTTGGGACCTTTGTAATCATCAAAAAAACCATGGATTCTTTAATCATATCTACATAACATGATCAAATTATTACTAAGACCTTCCTACTCCTAAAATTCAGTTGCAAACACTTATGTTTGTATCTTTCATTTGTGCAATGCCATACTTGAACTTGGCAGAATTGTTTACCAACTTCAACACTTATTTTATCAGAAAAAATGATACACCTCTAATAATAAGTATCCTTGTTTTTATATTGTTTACACCAATCTTTATGTTTATTTATATTGCTTGGTGACAAAAAAGGCTTCTAGGCAGCAACACAAGAACGAAGCCCAGCTTTGTGCAAGGTCTTAGCTATGGTTTGCATACTGCATTAAAGGTTTAAATCCTTTACAATTTTGAGCAGAGGCACATGTCTTTCCTTCAATGCTTTTTTTACTATGGCAGTCTTTTCTTGCTTCTTTAGGGTGGGGGGATATCCGGACCAAGGTAAATTTGCTATTTTTTTGGTTTTTTTTGTACTTCACTAAGAATCTTCAAATTGTTGATGAGGCATGTTTGAGCTTTTTGGCAACTTGCTTAGCACTCATTGTACTGATATAAGCAAGAATTATTCCTTTCTCTTTTTTATTCATTTGTTTGTATAGCATTTTTATAAAAAAAAATTTTTTTTAAGTTCTTAAGCTTGTAGGTTTAATATAAAAAAAGCAAAATAAAAAAAAATTGCCTCAAAATATGTAAGTATGAGGTAAACACAGCCTCCTTATTTGTTTATATGAGGTGATCTGCAAATCATATATTACTTTTGTTGGCTACTGTACTTTATAATTATTGTTTAATATTTTATTTATTTTCTTTTATAGTTACAATTGAGTTTATTAGAAATTGATAGGGCACAGGATTAATTTTCTATTCATGTGACTTCCAGTCTTTCTAATTTGTTTTACATTTCACAAATATTCTTTCTGTATTATTATATTATTATCGTTACAATACTTATCATTATTAAAGCCTGTAAGTGAAAGATCTAAAGTTCTTTTGTGGATTTAAAAAGTACTTTAAAAGCTTTGATCCTTAATTTAAATATATAATATTTACTGTTAATAACTTTTATTACTTATATTAAAAAGTAGAAAAAAACTAATTAAATATAATAAAAAAATATATTTTTATAAAGACTAATTAAATATGGTAAGAAAAAAAAAAGTATTTTAAAGTAATAATCAAGCTATATATATTTATTTATTAATCTTTAAAATCTTTATTTTAAAACACTACAGATATATAGTTCAAGGCTTTGATTCACTCCAGGTTGTACTATGCAGCCTTTTATTTTTTTCTTTATCAATATCTTCAAGAATATTATAAGTATGATCTAGATTATTAACAATTGTTTTCACATGATTTATATTATTTGCTACCTATTCTTTATTAATATGATCAATTAAATGTTGCAGCTTTGTTATTTTTAATTTAATCTTTTGGCATTTTTCAATATTATTCTCATTGCTTATATCTTGATTATGTATACTTATTATATTATTTATTTCTAAATTTTGAGATCTTTTTAAAGTACTTTGTGATTTGCTTCTATCTCATATCAAAAAAGGATAATCTGTTTGCCATTTAAAGTTTGAATATATTAATCAAATATTTTGTAAAGAATCTTTTGCCTTTTTAGAAGCTTTAAAGATCAAATATTTACAAATAAAAAAGTAGCTACAAAGAAATAAAGGATAGCTACAAATCCAGCATATTAGATCAATAAAGTAATGTTTATCAATATTATTATTTGGTTGGGTAAGATTATTATTCTATTCTTTTTTAAAATCTTCAAACCATGATGGTTCTAATCTTCCAAGTGATATTTGTTAAAATCTATTTATTTGATCTGGTAAAACATGTAAGCATATTATTCAAAAAAGATAGTCAAGTTATAAATAATAAAATTGATAAAGATAACAGTGTTTCAAAACTTTCCAGTAGGCTTCAATCATCATATTTGTTTTACTCAAGAGTATTGTTTTTTAAGTGGAACATGCCCAAAGGCACCATTATATAGATTTATACCAAGCCGACCATAAGTATGCCCAAAGTATTACAAGTTTATTTATAAAACAAAAATTGTATATTTCATGAACTACTTCATATCTTATTTCTTTAGGAGTTAAAAACTGGCTATAAAAATTAATAGAAATTTTGAGATATATATTAAAATGCTTTTTAACAATATCAATAACAATTCCATGTAATTTGATAGACAAACAATATAATATTTAGCATCTGTATATTGTAAATCAGGAACAAAAGATAGATCTACAAAGGTAAACTCATCTAAAACTTCTTGACATTGATAACTTATATGTTGAATTCGCTTATAACTTCTAAGCTTTTGTTTAAGTACTTTTTTAATATATCATTGACATAACTGTATATTACTTTTTGGCTATATACTTTTTGCGGTATTTATTTTAGCAAAATCTTTATCAGTAAAAAAATAAGTTGGATTTAAACCTTATTATGAATAGCAAGAAAAAATTCAGCAAAAGCTTCGGTATGTAATCCTTCTCGAGTTTCTATATAAGTGACTTTTGTTATATCTAAAAGAAGATATGCTAATGGAAAACCTGCACCATCAAAATTACCAACAAGTCCATAAAGCTCAAAATGCTCTTTAAAAGTTTTATATTTAGTATCACAATGTAACTCTGTTATATTTTGTATTTGGTTAAGCAATAGCATTATGATCCAAAAGCAGTTATATAATTAGTTTTAAGCTAAAAATATAAACTACAACTACTATTCTGATAGTGTTTGAAGTACATACATGCAAAAATAATATAATTTTCATTAGCTTTATGGAATTTTTGTGTATAATAGTACCACTAGTAATAAATTTGTTTTGAAATATCAAACTTTTTACAAAGGTGTATTTGTAAGTATACAGAGCTCATTTCTAAATTTTCTTGTATTTCTTGTCTAATCTTGAGTAGTGTTGTAATATCATCAGGCTTATCATATAAAATATTATATTGTAGTGTTATTTTTGCTTCTGCTATTAGGATATCAACATTAATAGACAACTTTCCATTGCAATTATACTATTCATTTCTTTTGTGGTTTGAGTCTTTATACTCTAGTTTAGTTTCATAACTTTGGGAATATGCAAAATAAGCATTTCTGATATCTTGATAATAAGCTGATATGTTTGGTGCAGTTGTAGCACTATATATAATTACATATTATTTAGTGTAAATATATATTTATTATTATTATTATTATTTTTTATTTTTTATATATTATTTATTTTTTATTATTATTATTATTATATCAGATTATTTACTTATACCCAATTATCTTCTTCAACTTCGTCAACAATTAATTTTGCTATTATTCTAATATTTATATCAGCAGAATCAAGTATGTCTTTATCAAGTTTAATGCAAAAAACAAGAAGAAGTGAATTATTAGGTTTCAAATTAGCAATCGTATCAACAATATAATCACTAATTTTTTGCAAAGATATCAATTCAATCGAAGTTTCTTCAGCATTAAAATTGTCATCTAATGCAATTTTTTTAGCAGTTTTTTTTTTAGCTCTAATTTCAGCTTTATTGATCAAGCATCTGGCACAAGTCTTGTTGACTTTGTTGTTGAGTACGAATATATCAAGATCAAGTGTACATAATTGCAAACTGGTAATTATTATAGTGTTTTATTTAATTTACTTTATTGGTCAAAGAGAAACTTTTGAATGTA